CTGTGCCTGATGATGCTGAGATCGGTTCGTAAACACTGCCGCAAGTAGTTTGATCCGGCATTGACATTGATGCACCGGGACGGCCATCTCTGCAAGAGGTTTCTCCCCCGGCAAGCTGGAAGCAAACAACAGGGCCCAAGCCTGTGTAAAAAGACTTTCTCGCCACATGTGGTGCCAAAAAGACGTTGCTGGAGCTGTTGGGTTGGGCAGGGAGTCGCGAACAACTGCAGGAGTTCCCCGGATGCTTTGCAGCTGCAGAGGCTGAAGCATCTCTAAAGTGCGCCTTGGTGTGCACCCTTCCTCGCACTCAAGCGCAGGCTCGTTGTGATCCTCAGTCTCGTTGTGAAGGTTCACGCGACACAGAAAGTTGAAAGATTGCGGACTAATCTGTGCACGAGGAGGCCCATAGTTCTTGGCCCGTAAGTATTTAGACCCATCATTGATGCACAACGACCACCATCTCGGCGAGAAGTTTTGATTTCCCCCGCAAACTGTGATCACAGAGCTGCGCTCTCTTGCACAGGGACAGGCAGGGTCCGAGCCTATGCAAACTTTCTCGCCGCAAGTGTTGCCCAAAAGGCGTTTTTGGAGCGGTTGGGTTGGGCTGAGACTCACGAAAAACTGCAGCAGTTCCCAGATGCGTCTGAAAATCGTGGCAGAGGCTAAAGCAGTCGCTAAAGCACAGTGTGCATCTCTCCTCACACTCAAGCACAGGTTCGTTGCACAGCCGACTGCATGTCGCACGACGCAGAGATCTGACAAAGTAAACCTTAATTCGTGCACGAGGAGGCCCAGATTGCGTCTTGAAGGCATCTCGTAAGTATTTTTCGACCCATCACTGATGCACAGCGACCACCATCTCGGCGAGAAGTTCTCTCCCCGGCCAAATGAGAACACGCAGCTGCGCTCTCCTGTTCTGATTCTGGAGCTGTTGGGCTGGGCCGGGAGTCGCGAACAGCTGCAGCAGTTCCACAGATGTTTCTGCAATCGCGGCAGACGCCAAAGTAGTTACAAAAGCACCTCTAGACTGCGCCTTGGTGTGCATCTTTCCTTCACGTAATGCGGCTAAGCAGCCATTCCACTGATGTGAAGCGGCAACGACGCGCCCGCTTTGCTCTTGCTTGTGGCATCGTGTTTTGGTGACAGAAGCAGGGTTACATGTGTGCAGCACGTGACACTTAGAGCCTTATCTGCGGAACTCCTTCTCTGCACTGCGGCTGCTTTGGCCGTTTGCCCGCTGGGTCTACCCTTGCGATCAAAGGACAAAGGTGCTTGTGCGCTTTGCCGACCACTGCTTGTCCCTCTGGCCGTGGCCTTTTCGGCGCGCGAATGGTGCAGCAATCAGCGTACCCAGTGCAGGCAGTGGACAAAGTGGAAAAATTAAGTAAGCAACTGTTTCTGCTGCGGCTAGCGGCTAGATGCGGCTAGATTTTGCTTTCTCGCCATCTCGGACCTTTGGTCTTTCTGACATGAGCATCCTCGCATCGCGGCGGCCAGGCACTGAGCTCCCGACGACTGACAATGGGCGGCATAATGCAGCCATGGCGAAACCTCCTCGGCTGATTCGCGGACGCAGTCCGGCCTAACGCCAGCTCCCCTCAAGTAGGCGCCGCAACACGAGTTATTGCCACCGTGTGGACTTCCGGTGCCAACCTGCACGCTAATCATATGGCGCCTGGTGGCCCTTTTGGCTTGCAGGCCGATTGCGAGAGGGGTAAGAGGCTAAGTGATTGTGTACTGCGACAATGTGACAATCACTTACCCTCGAGAAATGATTGCAGAGGGCCTTGCGGGATACATCCTTTCAGGGCGATGTGGATGTAAAATGATTGCCGTCCTGCTAAGTGTGTCTGGAGGACACGAGTTTGATGGGGGAGGAGTAAATTTTCTGAGTGAGGCGTGATGTGGCTGGTCTCATACAGGTTACCCCAGGCCAGAGGCAACCTTCCTCGAGGCTGACGCCGAGCATGCACTGCCCAGAGCCAGCTAGCTCGCTTGCCAGATCGGCACAGGGGGCTCCATGGCATGCTTGAGACTGATGCCTTTGCCTTTCGTCAGTGCAATCACCTCCGACTCTGAGCCTCAGCCTGCCCGAAAGTGTCGCTGCAGCATATGACTCAGCACAGCTTGTCGCCCACGGATTCTGCACTAAGCACGTGTGCACGTTACGCAAGGCAGCAACATCCAAGGCAGTGAGGGGCATTCAGCCGTGAACGGCTGCATTGGCTGCATCTTCTCAACTTGACTGATGCTCGCGGCACCCCCACTGGCAGGTTTCAGGCTGTTTCATTGGCCACGGCCTTGTCCCAAGAAGGTCTTTGCCTCCGGGGGGCATCTCAGGTTGTGCACGGTTCGTTCGGTGTCCCTGACTGCAACCGTGCCAAAGCGTTGAACTACGATTGCCGCAGAATCTGTCGGAACTCCTACGTGAAAAAGTTGCAACGCATTATGCGGGCTGCTCTGTGACTCGGCATGCCAGAATCAAGGTACATCGGAAAGCGTTGTCCAGCATCCACAAGGCCGTTTATGTCATGTCGCATCATTGCCTTGATGTTGAGGCCACCCTGCGGGCCGGCCATGCACTGTGAGCACTTCGCTCCTCTAAGCGATTCTCCCCACACTTTCTCGGCCCGTCCTTTCAATTGCACAGCCGCGTGCCCGCTTTCACGCTGATGCTCGGATGATCTGCAATGCGTAAGCGCACGGGTGTTCCGCGGGATCGAGAACTTCGAGTCTGGAGGCAGGCTTACCGCCCAGAGCCGGGCGACGCCCGTCGTTTTAGGTGGGCTGCTCTGAGCCGAGCATCTCACGTGATCCAGAAGCTACACGGGTCAGAGTACGAGATCGAGTCAAGGTTCCTTTCCTAGGACCTCGAGAGCAGTCCGAGCATTTCTGCAGACCTTGAGGCTGTTGGCACTCGGGTGCAATATGCATCCGGTGGGGAAGGCAATGATGCTATCTTTACCGAGGGTATGCAAGTTGCCATGCCTGCTCAGAAGAGACGCGTGTCTGATTCGCCATCATGGCGAGCACCCTCAAAAGAGCCGTGGTGGCAGCTTTCCTGTCGCCCCCGATGCCCCGTCTCTGAAGTCAAGCTTGTGACAAGGTACTGGAGTATTCTCAGCTTCGCTGGCCTTCTGTGTCCACACTCTCCTTCTCGAAGCGGCTCCCAGCCCTTCCGTGGGACGGGTCGGAGTGGTCTGTGCTGTCACGCTTCCGAACCAGTAGATTTCGACCAACGCCAAAATCATTGGCAGATTTCCTGTGAGATTCACCAGGTCGATTTGCAGAGGCTTCAGTTCTTCGGAATGTGTTTGTAGTTGGGCTTTTCGGTTTTGTGGGGTCTCAAGGTGTAGTAAACTGTTCGTGGAGGAGGATGGTAGAGTATGGGTTGGGGGTATTTGGAACTTGGGCTGTTCAGAGCTGGCTGATGGAAGTGGCCCGCCGGCAAAGCCCAAGCAACGGCAGCCATCTGTGTCACACCGATAGCAGCAATAGAAGTCGTCTTTGTCGCGGCGGGAAAGCAATGGTGTGGTCTAGGAAGGTGTTCTGCAAGCTTCGGACACGCCATGCAAAGCTGCTGGGCTCAGGCAAAGTCAGAGGAGGCGTCCTACGTCTCTCTCTTCTGCCATCACTACTTCAAGACGTCGATGTGGCTTGTTTTGGTGCTACAACAGCTTCCAAGCATTGCCCTTCTTCGCTTGCTTATTTTTTGCAAGCTTTGAGCCGAGAACATGCTGCCGATCGGCCAGAGCGGAAGGGTCGATCGGTCAAAAACACGGGGTGGAGGCTTAAGATTCGGCTGGGTGCTCTGGGCCTTGAGCCGTTGCACAGGGAAACACAGCAAACGAGAGGCAGTTCGAGCCCCAGGAACGCCCTGAACCTGATTAAGCCCAGCCCCAAGATTGACTTGCCCTGCAGCGGCTCGGCATGATGGTGCCCCTTCACATTGAGGTGTGCCCACTTCAGGCTCAGCTTCCTTGAGCTCTCGGGCTTACGCCGCTTTTTGGGCCAGGTCAGGGAGGACACCTGCACAACACAAGACAGGGGGCCGTCTCCACACAGCGTATTGAAGGGGAAACAAAACGTGGCCAAAGGCCTTGCAAGGGACTTGCTGAGCTTCTCTTTTCGGGAACCTTAGCCTCAGAAAAGTTCAGCGGTGATTGTTTTATGGCGCTCTTCCAGTCACTCCAAGCTGACAAGGAGAGTTGCCCAACTTTAAGCCTCCGTGGCATTCCTATTTGGCATGCAAGGCCCTTGACGTTTGCTGCTTCACCCGGTGAAGCGGTTGAGGATTCCAGTGATTCCAGTGCGTCGGCATCGTCGCCGAGTGGCGCGGCCGTGGCCGTGCCTGCTCCAGCTATTTCCGTTGCGCTGCGGCGGCTCTGAGTCAGACACTTTAGAGATGCTGTGGAGCCGCTTGGAGGTGGCCAGGGTGCATGCGCAAGGAGGGTTCCGGGTTCCAGGCCCTAAGAAGGCCTTGGGGCCATGTGTAGAGCTCGCGGGTCGCACGCTCTGCCGGGCTAGCGGATGACCTATAGGACAGTAGGTGTCATGGAGCGGACTCTGCTCCATCTCCAGCGCTGGTTGGAGAGCTCAAACGACAGCTTGGTGGGTTTTCTGCTGGCCTTTCCATGAAGTGGGAGAGGCAGCGCCTGAAGCCTGCTTGCAGCTGAGGTGACCTCTTGGCGGGTGAGGGTCCTCAGAGGAGCGCGAACACCGCCCGCAAAAGCGCGGCATCTCGGCAAGAAGGTTTCTCCCCATTCTCCCCCGCGAACTGAGAACACCCGGCTGCGCTGCCTTTCTCTGTTTCTCTGCATACACATGGGCAGGCAGGAGTGGTGCCGAAAGGGCGTTGCTGGAGCTATTGGGCTCGGCTGGGAGTCGCGAACAGCTGCAGTTCATCGCAGCAGAGGCTGAAGTAGTCACTAAATCAAGGTCAGGAAAGAGGCCCTTCAAGCGCAGGTTCGTTGTGGTCCTCAGTTTCGTCGTGAAACTGAATGGAGGTCACACAGTACAGAGAGTTGAAAGGCTGCGGACCAATCTGTGTGCGAGGACGGCCAGTTCGGTTCTTTAACACAGTCCGCGAGTATGTTGACCAAGCATTGGTGCAAAGAGACCTCCCTCTCTGCAAGAAGGTTTCTCTGCCGCCAACAGACAACACCCAGTTTCTGTGCACCAAAAAGGCGTTGCTGGAGCTGTTGGGCTGGGCCTGGACTCGTGCACAGCTGCAGCAGTTCGAGGCTAAAGTAGCTGCTCAAGCACGGTGTGCATCTTTCCTCAAACTCAAGGGTGGTTCGTGGTGATCCCCGGTCTCGTTGTAGAGCCGAATGCAGGTCACGCGATACAGAGAGCTGAAAGACTGTTCACGAGGACTTCCAGATTGGTTGTTGAGCAGAGCACTTGAGGAGTAGTTTAACCCATCATTGATGCAAAGAGAGCACTATCTTGGCAAGAAGCTTTTTTCTCTCCGGCAACAGGAGAACACGCAGCTGCGCTCTCCCTCTCTGTTTCTGGAGCTGTTGGGCTGGGTCGGGAATCGCGAACTGCAGAAGTGCCCCAGCTGCTTCTGCAATCGTAGTAGAGGATAAAATAGTTCCGAAACCACGCCTGTGCGCCTTGGTGTGCATCTTTCCTCCATGTGATGCTCCGTCTGGGCATCGCGCTGCGGTGACATGCTCAGCTGAGATGTCGCTTTCGGTAGAACTGTTCGCAGCACCTTTCTGTACTCTGCCGTATTAGATACAGCATGATACAGCGGTCTAGGTTGAATGGTGCCTGAAACGGCCCTTGGCCGAGTGCTTGGCCTTGCCGTTTTTCCCCTGTACTCACTGAGAGAACCTGGCCCTCTCGCTTAACCCAGGGTTTAGGGTTTAGGGTTTAGGGTTTAGGGTTTAGGGTCCTGATAGCTGTGAAGCTGGCCACGAGCCCTCCCGGAGTGAGCTCAGTCTGATCTGAGCAGGCTCTGTCCAGTGAAGCGGTTTGAAAAGAAGTGAGGCGGCGCACATTTCGCAAGACTTCGCCGGCATGAGGTTTAGAGTTTAGGGTTTAGGGTATTATAGTATATTATAGTATATTATATCATATGTGTTTTCTGAATGATAGTGTGATGGTGAGATCCCGTAGTGTGATTCGGCCTTTCCGGCCAGAACGATGGTGCGCGAGTGCAAGAGAGAGTTGGGACTTCGGAGGACGCCGAGAACCCTCCAGTTCATACACTATAATATACCATAATATGCTATAATATACCATAATACGCTATAATATACTATAATATACTGTAATATACTGTAATATACTATAATATACTATAATATACTATAATATACTATAATACATCTATATTTATACTATAATGTATACTATGATGTATACTATGATGTACACTGATCGTAGGCTCATAGGTTGCATGAGCCCTCAACAGGAATTTTGGAATGGTAGTCGCAGGGGGAGTAGACTAGTCAGCCCTTGCTTCTTCTCCTCAGCAGCTTCGAGGAATAGCCATCCTGCCGTCGGCGAGCGCTCTGGTTTAGGGTTTAGGGTTTAGGGTTTAGGGTGACCTGTGCATCAACGATTCGCTATGTTCGTGAAGGAAAGAACGAGGGAATTTCAGAGCACTATGCACATTGCGACCATGCCTAGATGCAGCATGTACGCAGGAATTAGCGCAAAACCCCTTCATTGCTCTACACTCGCCAGGCAAGGCAAGGCAAGGCCGTCGCTCGTACCGAATAATTTGAGTTCCCTGCAAAATGCGAGTCGGGATCCGTGTCCCCTAGCAAATGCATATGTTGCCGAAGTTTGGACGAGGTCTGTGTTGATGATTGAATTACTGAAACCACGAGTTCTGTTGCAAACATTGTCAGCAAGGCTGAAAGTGTTCAAGAATCTTTGTGGCTTGGGCTCTCTCCCTGCAGCCGCAATGGCTTAATTCGTTTAGTTCGAGCTGCGGCGAAGCCGAAGCATCTGGTGCCGTGGATGGCGCCGCATGCAGAGGCCCGCTCTCCTGCTAAAAGAGCCCAGTGATATGAAGTCCGGCACAGTTAATGAAGCCAGGGAGAGCGAGGGCATCTGTAGAGTTTGACTGCAAATCCTAGACGTACTTGAGACATAGTGACTCGACATGTGCTTGTGCTTTATGCATGTCTGGTGCTATTTTTCGAGGGTCTCGGTCTGCTGCGTCCAACCCAAGTATCATGCAGTTCAGGTCTGTAGAACTGCCAGTTCCAAGGCACAACACACACAAGAATCTATGTCAATACGACGAGTGCATGGGAAAAGGTTCTTCAGTCTGTTTTTTGCAGAATGCCGGTGTCGTCAGTAAGCTTGCAAGAGAGGGAAGGCGTGATGTGAGAGTGGTTCCACTCCGCAGTGGATCATAAGAAGTTCCAATGTCGAGCTTGTCGTGCAACTGGGTTGCTTTGCTGCCTGCAAGTAACTAGCCTGAATGTTGTCGTCAGAAAGGCTCCCATCCCTTTTGACATGAAGCTGACGCTGATTCCCGGCATCCTGCTGGCCAGGCTGGGATGATAAACCGCAAGACGTAGCCATGTCAGGGAGTCCCAGGTGCACGTAAACCATCGTCATGCTTCTGCGTGAGGTGAAGCTCGTCGGGGTGGTGTCTCTTCCGACAGAGGAGCCCTTGGGCCTGCCGGACTCATTCGATTCGGCTCGGCCAAGGTAGGCAAAAGCGACGTGCGCTTTGCCGAGCTGTCGCTGCCGGAGAGCATCTGCGTTCCCAGCGTCCGCCGAGCTCAAATTGTTCTACCAGCAAGCACGAGCTTCTGAATGTCTCATCGACCAGCGTTTCGCCTTAAAAAGTTTTCTTTCGCTTGCTTTCGTCACGAAAAAAGTGCGAACATAGCAACGTTGCCTGATTTTCACCGGCAGCTCTGAGTCAGAACCATTTGCTCGATCTGTCTTGACTCAAAGTTGTCGTTCTCATTTTTGGAAGGTCTCTTGTTTAGTATGTATACGGTGTGGTTTTGTTTTGTGCGTTGAATCACATGCAAGCAGCGGAAGTCGAGTAGGAGCGTTGCTCACCCGACCATCAACCGCTGCAAGGCATCGTGCGTGATCCGCAGCCACGCAGGTGCTGCCGCAATTACGGCTACTTCAGGTTAGACATGGTACACACACCATAGCTCCTTCTTCGAATGATTCGCATGTCTGACTGCACGGGTGGGCTGATGCAGCACTCACACTGTGGGAACTGCTGCCAACACAGGGCCGATCAGCAGCTTAGATAATGCGACAGAAGACCTGCGTCGACGTTACCAGACTCGTTTGGTCCCGCAGGCCAGGATCTGTGAGCCATGAGCCTGATTAGGAGCCTCACCTCATTTGCACCGGGAGGCGTGTGAGTTGAGTTGACTCGAGCCAGCGAACGAATGCCAAGTGCACGTGCTGGACTGTGAGTTTCTCTACCCGCACCTGTGCTACAGCAAGCAGCTCACGATAGTCATCGGGGCGGATGTCACAACATGGGTGTGATCGATCAGTCCTGAGTGCAAGCGGCCGCTGTGGCTCTCCTGTTTCGAGAAGCTGTGTCCGGCTCTGGCAATTTCATTGGCAGCCGCGCCGTCTGCTCGTGTTGCCCCAGCACCCGGAAACAGTCGTGTGGCGCAAGAGTTAGTGTGAGATCCAGGATGCAGTCGCGCTGGAGTACTGCTAAAGACAGACATGTGCTGGAGCATCACGTGCCAAAGTATGGAGTTGATTCACGGCTGCACGCATGCCCCTGGCACCCGGCACTTGAATGTTTCTGTAGAGTCTGTAGAGTTCAATCGGCACGTCCACCGTAGCTGCGTGCGCGCATGTCTCACGTCTGATTGCATGCATAGGATCACTGCAACACGCAGACTGTGGGAGTTGTTGCTGACAGAGGTAGTCATTGACAGCTTGGAGGGGTGCTGCAGCGTAACAGCGCCTACAGGTGTCCAGGCTGCGATGCACAAATGTCTTGTCTGTTTCGGCACAGTCGGTGCGAATTCAGGACGTAGAAGTCGCAAAGTTTGAAAGCGTTGTGTCTCGCAGGCCAGGATCTGTGAGCCATGAGCCTGATTCAGAGCCTCACCTCATTTGCGCCGGGTTGACTCGAGCCAGCGAACGAATGCCAAGTGCACGTGCTGGACTGTGAGTTTCTCTACCCGCGCCTGTGCTACAGCAAGCAGCTCAACGATAGTCATCGGGGCAGATGTCACAACATGGGTGTGATCGATCAGTCCTGAGTGCAAGCGGCCGCTGTGGCTCTCCTGTTTCGAGAAGCTGTGTCCGGCTCTGGCAATTTCATTGGCAGCCGCGCCGTCTGAGATCCAGGATGCAGTCGCGCTGGAGTACTGCTCTCATTGCCTGTGCTGGTGTGGAGCATGTGTTAGGTCGCCCAATGCCAATGCACGAGTTCGTTTCGACACGCCACCATACTTGCACACTTGCACCTGGCATGCCGATGCTCGTCTTCAAGTGCTGAGGGAGCGCTCAGCATAACTCCGTGGAGTTTTTCGCAGGTCTTGTACACATGCAGGCATTGCGCGGCAGTGTGAGATTCAGGCTTCCGGACGAGTGCCCTTTTTCATTCCTGTCGCCAGGACGGGCATGTGCTGGAGCATCATGTGCCAAAGCATCGATTTGGTTCACGCCTGCACACATGCCCCTTGCACCCGGCACTCGAATGTTTCTGTAGAGCCTGTAGAGTTCAATCGGCACGTCCGCCATGGCTCCGAGTCCACTTGTCTCACATGTCTGATTGCATGCATAGGATCACTGCAGCACGCAGACTGTGGGAGTTGTTGCTGACAGAGGTGGTCATTGACAGTTTGGATCGGTGCCGCAGAGCATCTGTGCCGCCTGTGCCCACAGCTCTGCAGGCTGTCTATCTGCGCCACCGTGTGCCCTGAGACTATCGTTGACTCTTGAAGTACAAGTTGGGATCTACTCGACCACCTGAAAAGGCACGACAAGGCGGATCACCGGGAAGCTTTTACCTTGTCCCGCAACATCTCCACATTATGTTGGCCGGGCCTGCATGTTGGTTTCCCCATCTCCAGGGCTTTGACAGTGCCTTCGGCACGAGGCCGTTGCCTTTTGCCACAAGCTCCTGGACGTCGCGAGTCTCGATTCCGAGCCCGCAGTGGCCTCAAAGCTGGTTCTTTGGGTGTGGGTTCGTTTTTTTTTTTCAGGGATCTAAGTATAGGGGTTCCTTTAAGCCCTTATGTCCAAGCCCAGGCGCCCCTTCGCACGTAGGCACGTAGGCTGCAAGATGTAACTCCAGTGGGGGATTGTCCTTGCTGTCTCTGAATTTCGGAAG